TGGGAGAAGGCACCACGCCTGGCTATAATCAGGGCTTACTCCTGGCTCTGCTCACTCTTGGTGGGGCTTGAGGGACCACTCGGGTGGCAGGAATTAAACCCGAGTCAGCTGCATGGAAAGCAAGTGCCCTATCCACTGCACTATCTCTTCACCTGTTCAGATCTCATTTCTTAAAAGACAAAGCAAAACAAAAAATGGCAACTGCAAACAACTTCACATCAACTTGCTCTAATCTAACTTGCTACTTTTTTTGTTTTTGAGTCCCGCTGGGCAGTACTCAGGATTTACTCTTGGCTCTGACTCAGGGATCACATATGGAGAGGCTCTGGGAATCATATGGGTGCCAGGGATCAAACCTGGGTTGGACACATGGGAGGCAAAACTCCCTATTCATTGTACTACTGCTTCAGTCATTTACTACTTTTAAAAAACTTCTTCTATTTGTTAATCTCTTTCTTACATTTTCTGTCTTTATTTACCTCTTACTCCCACAAGTTTATCTCCATTTTATTAAAACTACTTGCTAGTTTTTCGCTAGAGATAATAAACTCCAAATGCAAAATCTAATGCCTTTTCTAATTCTTGATCTTATTATAGTATATCTGACACCAACCATTATCATTCCCCTTCTTGAAACTTCCTATCTCCACCTTCACTTCTATAGTAGAGGAATAACGAAGCTCTACCTCTGTGTCTCCTGATACTCAGCATTCATTTCTATGGATGAGTGATAGTACTATCATCCACTTACACTATTATAATGATTATGTCTATTTGAATGATTCCCTTTTTTTTTTTTTTGGCTTTTTGAGTTACACCTGGCGATGCTCAGGGGTTACTCCAGGCTCTGCGCTCAGGAATGACTCCTGGGGGTGCCCAGGGGACCATATGGGATGCTGGGGATCAAACCCAGGTTGGCTGCATGCAAGGCAAATGCCCTCTCCACTGTGCTATCTATCACTCTGGTCCCGTGAAAGTTTTTATGGATTGAGATTCTGTGGTTTTTAGCACTGTGAATAATGGTTTCTCATTACATAATTCCAACACCATATCCATCACAATATACTCACCTGCCTCCTCCAAAGAAACTTCTCCCTCTCAACATCTCTCCTCTGCCCCCTACCCCACTTGTATAGCTCAGTTCTCATTATGCTGCCTTTGCACCTTTTTTGCTACCTTGGTGTGTATATTTAAGTTCCACATGACAGAGAGCATTCGGTATCTATCCCTTTCCTTCTGACATTTATGGGGATGACTCTTAGATATTTCTTTCTGAATTCTTTCCTACAACCCTTTTCTATCTTATACTTTGCCTTCTGAAACTTAAGTTCTACTTGAAATTCTCAGTTGCAAATAAAAGTCAATAACAAAAAGAATGAAAATTTCTCAAAAAATTAGTTGGTCCATGTGATTTCTCTAGATCTCCTTGCTCATTTTGTCTTCAAATGCATATCCAAACTATACCCTACCTCAGAACATTTGTCCTTGCCACTCTGGGCCAACCCAATGCCACCTCTCATTTGAGTTATTATAACTGTCTCTGGAGCTTTGGATTGGCATCTGCTACAATATCTAAAAACCACTCTTGGGGGAAAGGTTTCCCTTTCAAAACCTTAGTTTTAAATCACTCCTTGGCACAAAAATGTGCCACAATTCCCCGTTTTAGAATAAAGGCCAAATTCTTAAGTTTCTACAAGGCTTATGCAATCTACCCACTATATTGTTCCCTCTTCATCTCCTGCTTCTCTTTTACTAAAGTCACACTGGACTTCCTTCTATTCACATGACATTCCAGGCATATTGCCACTTAAATATCTTTGCAATTTGCTATTCACTATGCCTTAAATACTTCCTTCAAATAATTGCAAGGTTTATTCCCATCTTTTTTGGGGAGGCCTCCCTTACTATATACAGCTTTATAAACCCACGTCCTACCCCTGGGATTCTGCATCACTCTTCCCTGCTTAATTTTTTCCTTAGTAACATTTGATATATTGCAATTTACTACACATTTTTCCTATTTATTATGTCTCCCCATTAGTCACAACCTCAGGGATGTTTATTTCCTGTTATATACTTAGTTCCTTTGTGTCTGCTGTAGTGGGCCTTCAACACACTGAAATTACTGAAAAACCAGTATCCACCTCAATCCAAATTTTGAGGACCTACTCTTTTTCTTTTTTTGGCTCTTTGGGTCACACCTGGTGAGGCTCAGGGGTTATTCCTAGCTCTGCACTCAGGAATCACTCCTGGCAGTGCTCAGGGACCATATGGGATGCCAGGGATTGAACCCAGGTCAGCTGTGTGCAAGGCAAATGCCTTACCTGCTGTCCTATCGTTCCGGTTCCACGTACTCTTATTTATTTTTTGCTTTTTGGGTCACACCCGGCGATGCACAGGGGTTACTCCTTGCTCATGCACTCAGGAATTACTCCCGGTGGTGCTTGGGGGACCATATGGGATGCTGGGAATTGATGCTGGGTTGGCCGTGTAAAAGGCAAATGCCTTACCAGCTGTGCTATCACTGCAACCCCACGAGGGTCAACTCTTAACCATCATGCGCTACATCTAGCCAGTGACTAAATACGCTGAAAAGATTCTATCTTAGACCTTCATTATCATTAATTTAGTCTTATGCAAAACCATCCTATTTTATTTTTGTTACTGTCTTTTTACAAACATCACTTTGAATTAGTGTCTTCTCTAAACCTCGATTCCATCACTCGTAAAGTGAAGTTAATTCCCATCTCTTTGGATTGCTATAAGAATTAAATAAGCGTGGGTATGGTACCGAGAGCAGGTCAATCTGTACCTGCGGGGTGAGTGCATCAGTCGTCTGATGGTGCCTTCAGACTTCCTGATACCACAAAATTGTGCTGTACCTTTCGCTAGATCCCAACAACGTGGGACCAAGTTTACCAAGAAATTAAACTAACAAAAGTTAGGCATATGGAAGCCACGCCCACAACCACCTCCAGCTCACCTCTACAAGCTTATTTATTGGCCTTATTTCAGAGACCCATAAATAAATCTCAAAAGAGAGCAAAAGCCACAATTAATCTTGGACCCATGCATGGCTGAACAGACTGGGATAAATTGGAGAGTGGGTCAGTCTGGAGTGCACCCAAGCAGAGCACCCAGCAGCCAGTTGCCCACCCAAGCAGAGCCCCTTGCAGTCGCTTGCTTCCACAATCCAAAATTATACCCCTGGCCTGACTCCACCATCTCAGGATGGACTTTACAGAGACATAATTTGCTGAAAATTCTGGTGTGTGGGTTTTGCGATTGAAATCTCCCGGCTTTCTTGTTGGGATAGGCTACCTACCCCACCTCCCTATACTTCCAGAAGCTTTGGCAGTCACATCCACACCCCAAAGCTGCCACAGAATTGAAAAGCTACTCTAGCCTTACTGGCCTGATAAAAATACCAAATGCCCTGAACAAACATCATGACCTCTTAGCACCTGCATTGCAAACCACAACGCACAAAAGCAAAAGGAGAGCAAGCAAGCAAGAAGGAAAGTGCTTCCCATAGAGGAAGGTTGGGGTGGAATGTGGGGTATTGGGGGATGGTGGTAGGGAAACAGGGGACATTGGTGGTGGGGTGGGAAATGTACACTGGTGGAGGGATGGGTGCTGAATCACTGTGATGACTGAAACCCAATTATGAACAGTTTTGTAATGGTCTATCTCACAGACATTCAATTAAAATTTTAAAAAAAGTAATGTGGAGTTCATGCCCAATTCAATCAGCTTAATCCGTGGCTTAATAAATAGCAGTACTCCTACATTTAAAAAAAAAGAAATAAACTAAAATATACAAATACCTAGTCATTTCAGCCTGGCAAGCTCCCCGTGACGTATTCGATATGCCAAACACAGTAACAACAAAGTCTCCAATGGAGACGTTACTGGGCCCGCTCGAGCAAATCAACGAACAACGGGAGGGCCTTTACCTTTACCTTTACCTTCTTACATTAAAAAAAACTCAACCTTATGTCTCTTCCCAATTATTATTTTTATCCTGTTAGTAAATTTTATAAAGACATGGGAATTTTATCCTAATTCTGTGCTTGCCACACCATCAAGTTCGATACCTTGTAAACAATAGTTAGCCACAATAAATAAACAACACATTTTTTCTTTTGATACTTTTTCCCCCAGTTTTAGTTCTAGTTAAATATAGCTAGATATATACATGAATACAGCAAAATATTATTTCGTCGATTGCCTCGAGCAGGCCCCAGTAACGTCTCTTTCATCCTAGCCCTGAGATTATATTCAAGGCTCTTTAGGAGAATGAGACCCATCATTGTTACTGGTATTTGGCATATTTGGTATGCCACGGGGAGTTTGCCAGACTCTTATATATAGCAAAATATATAAATGAATATAAAGATAAAGAATATAAAGAATGTTAAAATATTAGGAAATGATAGCCTGGCTGTACTAGAGTCTCTGAGCACTTCTCTGCAGAGCTCTGAAACCACCAGATCCATTCTTGATCCTCCACTCACCCTGTGTGACAACTCCCCTGCCCACCCAGCTTCTTCTTCTTCTTTTTTTTTTTTTTAATTTAAAGCAGGAGTAGTGCTTTGGTTACACCCTGGTTTTGCATATGCTAAGTATACGCCCTACCACTTGAACTGGATCACCCCAGTTCGCCAGATTTGTGTTTTAATGACACTTGTACACAACTAATACATGTTAAATTTATGGAATTTCAGGATTTTGCTGACATAAAGGAAGGCTTCCTATGGTTATTTTGTGCAGATCTTCGCTGCATTTATCTGTGAGCAGCTGTCAATTTACTTCGTGGAAAATTGCTTGAGAATTGTGGAACACAAGTGATATCACGCAGATAGTTTTCACTTTGTTTTAGAAAAACAATTGGTTATGTCCAAAAGAACCCCTACCTCCCTCAAAAAAGAATACTATTCAACAAATCTACTCTTGAAATCTAAGATTATTTTATTATTTTTTAAAAGCCATTCTCTTACCTGTTACTTCATCACTCTGGGTAGACAGCAATTTCCAGATGAGGTAAGGCCCACCAAGGATAACAGCAAAAAATAAGAATATTGGCCAAGATTTTGCTGAGTTAGCTGTTCTGTCCTCGGCTCCAAGGGATGCCACAGTTCCTTCACTTTCTGCCCATAGGTCCTCATTCTCAGAGCCTCTTCTTAGACCTATCATCCACTGTAACCGCCGGTAAAGATACCTTATAGTCCTAACTAATGCAAAAGCTGAAAACACCTTTGTAAAGTGTATTTTTAATCGGGAAAAGTGATTTGCTACATCCAACACAGCCCTAAAACTGTTATAGACAGCTGAAAAGGTAGCATCCATCATCATACTGACAGAGGCAAATGCATGCACGATACTTTCAATGGACTGAAATGCACCTCTGCTGCTTTCTTCAGCTTGCTGTACAAATCTACTAGGTGGAAGATCATCCATACGTAGGCGATTATAACCCAACCCATTATATCCATAACTATAAGGGCTATAGTTTCCATAAAACGAATTTCCATAGGCACCATATCCAGAAGAAAATGAACTGTAAGCAGGTCTGAAAGTGTTCACACTGCTGCTTCCCGTCTGCTGTGATGGCCTTGGAAGAATAGGCGGGGGCACTCTGGTAAGTGTTGGTTGTCCTGGTCTGATTAATAAAGTAGGACCCAAATCAGCAGATCTAAAACCAGAAAAGATTCAAAACAGACACTTAAACACACAAATTCAAAGTAAACATTAAACAGCGTCCATATATCAACACTATGATGTATTCTACTGAAGTTGTTTTAATAGTATCCAATACCCAGATACTTAGAATCTCAGTGATATGACAAAATAACAGAATTCCACTACTTTCCTGTTTACCCATGCTAGCATTATTAGTTTCATCATCAATCTCTGTTTTTTCAAATTTTGTTTTATTTTTTTATTTTTTTAAAATTATATTTATTTGTTTTTTAATAGTGAGGCACCATGAGGTACAGTCTACAGTTGTAGACTTACACATTTTTGTGCTTGGGTTTCCATTATACAATGATCAAACACCCATCCCTCCACCAATGCACATTTCCCACCACCACGGATCCCAGCATCCCCTCCCCCCCTCAGCCCCCATCCCACCCTGCCTCTGTGGCAGGGCATTTCCCTCTCTCTCCTTTTGAGTGCCATGGTCTGCAAAAGAGGCATTGAGTGGCAATCATGCTGGTCGACAGTCTACCCTCAGCATGCTCTCCCATCAAGGGTGGGCGGATCCTCCCAACACCCTTTATTTGGTGTTCCCTTCTCTCTCTGAGCTCCCCCTTCCCCAAACATGTGTGGTTGTCCTCTGGGTCATTGAGTAAAATTCCTGGTACTAATCTCTGCCATACTTGGGTGTTAGTTTCCTATTTTGTTACTTTATGTTCCCCAGATGAATGCAATCTTTCTATTATTTTATTTTTTAAATAAATTTTTGTTTTGTTTAAGGGAAGTGTTCAGGGAATCCCTCCTGGCTATGCATGGGGGACTAAAAGGTATCAAGGAACAAAAACAACCCCCCCCCACCCCCCCGGTTCTCTTCCCACCTTCTATGCAGACATGTGCTACAGCCCCTGAGTTCTCTCTCAGATCCTCTGGTTTCTTTTACTTATTTTTGGTTGGGAGGCAATACCCCATGGTGCTCAGAGCTTACTCCTGGCTCTGAATGTAAGGATCACTCCTGGTGGGCTTGGGGGACCATATGAGGTGCCAGGGATTGAACTTGGCTCTGGTCACATACAAGGCAAATGCCCTACCTGTGGTATTATCACTTTGATCCCTCCTGTGGTTCATTTTAATGACGCATCTAGGTCTAGGGATGTAACTCAGTGGTTAAGTTCGCTCTGTGTGTGTGTGTGTGTGTGTGTGTGTCCAGCACCACAAAAATGTTAAAAGACATATCTACATCTATGAGGCTAGCAATGTAAGTGGTTGGTAGAGCACTTATCCCGTACATATAAAGCCTTGGGTTCAATTACTAGCACACAAAAAATTACACTTTTTATTTTCTAGGGTTATTTACAACGAAATACTTGTCTATCCTTGTACCTAGATGGCACTATCTTAATTAAAATAGTTTTTATTAAGGGTTGCTAATATCCAAAAAAAGAAGTTTTCCTTTTTAAAAGTGTCTTTGTTGTGAATGTGTGTATGAGAATGAGAGTTTGGAATTTTACATGTTTCTAAAAACAAAAGTCAGCACTAGTGGGAGTTTAGGGATTAATCTACATTAATTCTTGTTAATCCACATTAACTTTGTAGACTAAATTAAAGCAATCAACCTCTTTATACTGAATTTTAACCCATAATATATGTATTTCAACAGATCAACAGGTGAGTCTTTTAAAGATTTTTTCCCCATGATTTTTGAAAAATTGGGATGCCAACCAGTGGTCCTGAGGATGAGGGCCTGCTGTACTAAGGAGAAAATATGCAGTGCCAGGGATCAAACTGGGATCAGTCTCATGCAAGGCAAGCGCCTTAATCTTGTGCTATTTGGTCACCATTTTTTAAAGGGGTAACTACTCCTGGCTCTGAATATTGGAATTACTTCTGGTGGGGACCATGTGGGATGCTGAGGACTGAATCTGGCTCAGTACAAGACAAACACCCTACCCACTATACTATCGTCTTAGCCCCTTGTTCTTAAAATTTTTACCAAAAAAAATCATATGAGTCTGCCTGGAATTCTTAGTGTGAAAGCTCTTAATTTTTCAGAAACTGATTTCTTTAGAACTATGCTAATGGACCATTGCTAGTTTATGAATTCTTCCTATCACTCTCTAGTGAGAAAATGAAACTTGTTTGACTCTGCTATATTTTTACTGTTTTGTAAAAGTATTGGTCATGAACACAAATTGAGAAGTACTGCTTTATATGTTTACTTATTTTGGCTTTTGGGCTACAGACAGCAGTGTTAAGGGGTTACTCCAAGTTCAGTGTTTGGGGTTGCTCTTAGCAGTGCTCAGGAATCACACAATAGGTAGAGACTGAACTCTATCCTCCTGCATGTAAAGCATGCCCTCTAGACCTTTGAGGTACCCCCCCCCCCCCAGCCAGATGTACAGCTAATATAAGACTGTACCATCTCTCTAGCCCCTTATACTGGATATTTTCTTTCTTTCCTCTTTTCTTTCTTGCTTTTTTCTTTCTTTCTTCTTTCTCTATTCCTTTCCTTCCTTCCTTTTTTTTTTCGGGGGCGGGGAGGGCATATGGGATGCTGGATATTGAACCTGGATTGGCCGTGTACAAGGCATACACCCTAGCTGTTGTACTGTCTCTCCAAGACATGGACATTTTCTTTCTTACTATGCTGTAGGTCACTGGTATTCTGAGAGCCAATCTGGCACCTAATAAGGAGCTTGCAACCATAATAAAAGCCAACAAATGATTTCTTCACAGAGAAAGTTTTGCGAGCAATAAAATTCCAATTGAATTAGTGTGTTCAAGGTCTACATTACATTCTGTCATTTCTTATCTACTTATTAACTAATTCAGAGGATTAGTACTACACCTGACAGTTCTTGGGGAACCATAAAGGGAACCAGGATTGGCAAGATTCGAAGCAAACACTTTAGCCCCCTATTATCCCTTTGGTCCTCATATCTATTTACATTTTGCTTAACATGTAGTTTAAAAACTAGCAGCCACAGATTCTCACCTACAAAAAAGATACTTGGAGAAGCACCAATACTAGTTCTGTTTTGAACAGTGTCTTCACAATATCCAAAATATAACTAAAGGAACTGAGATGATTTGAAGCTCGGCTTGTGTTCTTAACAAGGCTTAACTACCTCTTGCCCTTTTCTCCACTACCTCCCCACTATCCCTTCTCTTCCTATTACTGCAATGACAAGATCAAACAAGTTTGCTTGTAGTTTTTGCCAGGGCTTGTACCCTATTTAGCTGAGATGCTTGCACACACTTGGCTGAGATGTGGCAAGAAATCACTCATGTTGCTAGAGATAACAAACAGCAGAACTGCCAAGCACAAGCAACAGAGTTGCCAGGATCATGGCTGGAGTATGCAGGAATAAAAGGGCTTCAACTGTTAGCCTCATGCTTGTAAGGCTCTAAGGACTGAGTTATCTCATTTATCTCATGGCCCCATCTACTTTCACACCTCCACAGTTTAAGGGCTACTAAAAGGAAAACGATCTACCATAAAGCAATAAAAGTTAGATCTGATACCAAAAAACCCCATAATTTTTAAAAAAAATAATGTAGGAGAACTGCTAATTGTTCAGCCATTAATTAAGCTGATTTCATTGGGCACGAACTCCCCTAAAATTGTTGTTTTGTTTGTTTGTTTGTTTATTTTTTGAGTCATACCAGGCACAGGGGTCACTCCTGGCTCTGCACTCAGGAATGACCCCTGACAGTACTCAGGGGACCATATAGGATGCTGGGAATTGAACCCTGGTCGACCGTGTGCAAGGCAAACGCCTTACCTGTTGTGCTATGGCTCCAGTTCTTCTATATTTGTTATAGGCTAATTATACCTAGGGACATACACGCAAAGGTCTGAGGATACAGAATTCGGGATGAGGGGAGTCAGCACAAAGGACTGGAGCAATACTTGCACACACTAAGCCCCGGGTTTCTATCCCTGACCCAGCATGGCCACCTGTGTACCACAGGTGTGGCCCTGGTGGTTTCTGTGCACCACCTCTGATCTGAACAGCACATGGGGGTATTCAACAAAAAAGCTGAGAAAGAATTCAATATCATATAAATAAGATAACATTGTTATTCAACAAAAATAATCACAATTAAGCAGAATTCATCCAGAAAATGTAGGAATAATTCAACATTAGGAAGTCAATGCAATAAATCACAACTTTTTAATATTTTGAAGTTTACATTTTAACTCAAAACTAGGATATTCCTTTATTATGATTTGGGAGGCTATCTTTGGGGTCTGGGGAAACACTGTCAGCTTGAATTTATATATGGCATATACAAAATTTTTTGGGCATTCCAGGTCCCACACCTCATAATTTACTAGTGATAGCAAATAGAAATTTTTTTTTCTTTTCCTTTTTTTGGTGTTTTTTGCCACACCTAGAGATGATTAGGGGTTACTCCTGACTCTGTACTTAGAAATTAACTCCTGTTGCTTGAAGGACCATCTGGGATGCCGGAGATTGAACCTAGGTCAGCTGTGAGCTAAGTAAGTGCTCTACCTGCTGTACCATCACCCTGGCTCCAAACTGGAATTTTCTACTTAAATTGTAGGTGGAAAACTGTAAGAAAAATACATGTATTATCTCAATAGATGCAGAACCTTCACTTATAAAATCTAATGCTACTTTATAATAAAAATATGAGCAATACCAGAGAGATAGTATAGGGTGTTAAGGTGTTTGCCTTGCATGTGGCCAGGGCTGCATATGAATCCCACAGCACTGCCAGGAATGAGCCCTGAGTAAAGTGCCAGGAATAGCCCCTGAGCACTGCTGGGTGTAGCCCAACCCGACCCCAGCTACCCTACAAATAAAAATCTTGGCAAGATAGAAATCCAATATAAGGGTTGGAGACAAATTCATACACTTGTGTTGTATGCAGCTGATCTGATTTGACCTGGTTCCCTAAGCATCACCATAGTGATCCCTGAGAACAGTCAGGTGTAAGGCCCGAACGCTGTCCAGTATAACTCAAAAAAAAAAAAAGACAAAGACTATAAAGCTATTAAACAAATGCAAATGAATTTCATAGTGATAATAGTCAACAGAAATGTCAGCAAAAGATAGAGGAGAAACTTCAATGGCCAATAAACATTTAAAAAGAAGCTCAGGGGCTGGAGCGGTAGTACGGCGGGTAGGGCATTTGCCTTGTATGCAACCGGCCCGGGTTCGATTCCCAGCATCCCATATGGTCTCCTGAGCACCGCCAGGAGTGATTCCTGAGTGCAGAGCCAGGAGTGATCCCTGTGCATCGCCAGGTATGAACCAAAAAGAAAAAAAGAAAGATGCTCAATCTTACTACTAATCAATGTAAAGAATGATTAAATCAGTATTAAAAATAACAACAACTGCTGAGAATTCTCTCCAGCAAAAATGTAAAAATTGGTATACAACCACTTGGGGGAGCAATTTGGCAACAGTGCTAGAAGACCTTTTCATCAATTTCCACTTCTCAATAATGCTTTAGAAAACTCCTTGCAAAGGCCCAAATAAAAAGGGCACAACTGATGATTGTAGCAGCTTTTTGGAGGGGTAGAGGGGTGGGCCACACTCAGTAGTACTCTGGAATCATATGTGGTGGGGGATTTGAACCTTGGTCAGCCCCTGTAAGGCAAGCACCTTTACCCATGTACTATCTCTTATCCCTACAGCAACTTTTAATGTACAACAGCTAAGCCCTAACACTGACAACAGAACAAATAGTTTATTTTTAAACTGGAAAATATTATCTGGTAGTTAAATGAACAACAGTTTTATGTATAAATAAATCTGAAAAAATACTTGGTGGGAAAAAATTTCCATCAAGTTTTGATACACAATGTTAGGTTTTTTTTTTTTTATGTAAGAGTACTGCTATTTAATCAGCCACTGATTAGGCTGATTGAATTTTGCACGAACTCCACCACAATGGTAGTTTGAACACAAAGAAATTATTTCATACACGCACAAAAAGTACACACAAATGAAAGTACTAAAGTGTAAATAAAATATAAAAACATTATCTGTCAGATTCACCACCAAATAAGGATAGAAGTTACTGCAGAAAAACCGAATGTGAGTGTTTAAACGCTTCAGTAAATTTAACTTTTATTGTTTTGGTGCCAGATAATGAAACCCAGGGTCTCATACATTCATTCACCGCTGAGCTATATCCTGGGTTACTGAATTTTGATTTAAAAACAAGGGAGGGCCAGAGAGATAGAACTGCAGGTAGGGTGCTTGCCTTGCACAAGGCTGACAAACGTTTGATTCCTGGCGCCACACATGGTTCTGTCCAGTCCCATCCTCTCCCAGTTCTGCCAGGTGTAAGCCCTGAGCATAGTGGAATGTGCCCCTGCCTCTGCAACCCTCTGCCACCAACCCAAAGAACAACAAAAAAACCCCCGAGGAGGCTGGAGGGATAGCACAGTGGGGAGGGCAGTTGTCTTGCATGCGGCCCACCTGGGGTTGGGTTCGATTTCCAGCATCCCATAAGGTCCCCGCCAGGAGTAATTTCTGAGTGCAGAGTCAGGATTAACCCCTGAGTATTGTCGGGTGTGACCCAAAAGGCCAAAAACAAACAAACAAAAACCAAACAAGCCCCCGCGAATCTAGCAAAATATTAATATGTCTTTTACAAAGCTGTTCATCACTAGGTTTCAGTCATACAGTGTTCCAACACCCATCTCTCCACCAGTGAAAAATGTTAATATTTCTTACAGTTGGGAGTGAATATGCAAGTATTCACAGACTGACAGTTTTTACACCTTTAAACTATCCCACAATAAAATAAAAGGTGGGAAATGGCTAATTTTACTGTCCACCCTCCTCCCCTTGTTCACCGATTTGCTCGAGAGGGCACCAGTAACGTCTCCATTGTGAGACTTGTTACTGTTTTTTGGCATATGGAACAAACCACGGGGAGCTTGCCAGGCTCTGTTGTGTGGGCGGGATACTCCAGGTGGCTTGCCAGGCTCTCCAAGAGGGAGAGAGGAATCGAACCCAGATCGGCCTCCTGCAAGGCAAATGCCCTCTACCCTCTGTGCTATCGCTCCAGGCCAGCTGATTTTACATAAACCAATATTTAAGACAATAAAGTACAACACCTCTTGATTCTCTTCCAAAGAACATTTCAGATTGTTTTTTTTTTCCTGACAGTCAAAATCACTCATAAAAACGATAGCATAGTCATCCCTGTCTCCCAGCATAATTAAAACGGACTTGTTAAGTATCTGTTATTATCAAATTAGGTTGCTACTATGTTCAAGCGTTTAAAGATAGCCTAGATTTTAGAACCCAGCTAAAATACATTTTCCCATGTATCAGGGTAATTTTTTTTTAATGAAAACAACATAGGTGATGGGACACTGAGTCTCTTCACCTGAACCAAGTTGAAAGGGCTCTTACACTCTATTTTAGTCTTCTCTGAATTGTGGATGTGATTAATGTAAAGAACAAAAAACAAACTATAGGCCTGATTTAAGATTTATGCTCACAATTGTTTCTCACAATCATTCTAACACTGGAATGGGAAGTCTACAGTGAGATGTTCAGTTTCATTAACGATGGTGACAATTAGTCTCAGTGCCTCTCTCCCTTTTTTTCCTCTTGTTAAGGATTTATCAATTTTATTAATCTTTAATAAAATCTTTTGGTTTCCTTTAAAAAAGAAACCAAACAAACTATAGGCCTAAGAGAAAAATCATACTTATTTTGCAAACGAATAAGGACCAGGCCTCAATTTTGCAAATAATCGTTTTAATCCTGCTTCTCCAAGTCTCTACCCCAATTCTTGCTAAGCTACTGTGGAAAGAACAACAAGCACATATATATTTGCGCTGCAGACGCGACCTTTGGAGATTTCACCAACTTCTCCAGATGTTTAAAAAATAAACAAACACACACACACACACACACACAAAAACGCTTCTGCGAGACTTTGCTCTCTGGCGAGCTGGGGCAGAGCAAATTCCACTGTCATCAACCAGAGACAAAAAAAAATTCAATGCTTTCAAGAAGGGGGGGGGCCGTCCAAGCAGTGTGGCCCGGGCGCCCCGCAAATAGAAAAGCGCAGGAAAACGCCCCTCACCCTTTGCTTCAGACGCTGACACTCATCGAAGCGCCCAGAAGGTCTCCGAAAAAACCTCGTATCTGAAACACGTCAAGTTCAAAAAAAAAAAAAAGAAAAGAAAAAAAATCACCATTCTGACAGTAAAATTCCTCTCGCGGGCGCCAGGGCTGCACCTCAGCCCCCTCACGGTCGGGGGCTGGTGGTGAGGGGGAGGGGACAGCGCACCCCAACTGCCTCAACCGCCTGCCAGACAGGTCCCCGCTCCAGCCCACCACCCTAGCGGCCGGAAGAATCCCACACTCACTGGAAAGTGGGGCCGGGTCCTGGGCCCGGCCCGGCCCCCGGAATTCGGCGGGTCTCCCAGGGTTTCGGGGGAGGCGGCGGCTGAGACGCCATCTCCAGCGCCTCCGCTCAGCTCCCTGGGCTGTGGCACTCACCCGGCCGGGGTGTAAGTGCACCCCGAGCGCCAGGCCCAACGAGCAGAGCACCGAGACCTCCGCCCCGCTCACCCCCGCGGGCGGGACGGGCGGAGCAGAGCCCTGCCCGCCGCCACTGGGGAGTGCAGAGACCACGAATCCCTGACGGAGGACACTCCCCTTTTATTGGCCTCCGAAAGAATTTTCACCCAGGACCTGAGGGTAAAGGCTCATCGATATTTCTGTCAGCGACTACTGTGGCCTAGGAACCTCGGAGCCCTACGGAGATTTTTCTTTTTTTTCTTTTTTCTTTCTTTCTTTTTTTTTTTTCCGGGCCGGGTCTGGCTGTGGCCGGGAGCCAGGTCCCACGCACTCGTGGTCTCTTACACACCTGGAGGAGATCTGCGTGTGGCTACGGGCCAGGCAGTTCTACCGACTCCCTCACAATCAAGTAGGGAAGAGTTCACTGATTCCTTTGGAGAGGGTGGTACTTTCGTTCTCAAGTTCTAGTTTCCTCTGGGAGCAGAATTGCCAGGCTCCGTAGGTGCGTTGTCTTTAGTCTTCCCCGTTCCCTTCGAGGGTCGGAAGGGGTTAAATTTGAGGCTGCGGCGTCGTGGGAGAAGGTGAGGCTGGGAGGTCTGAAGGAGGGGATGGGGACTGGGTGCGGAGCGAGTGTAAAGGGGACCGAGTCATTCCGCTCGGACCCGCTCCGTTAGCAAGGAGGGGGAAGTTCCTTGGACCGGGTCGAAGGAGGTAAAGGCTTGCTGGTCAGAGCAAAAAGTGGAGGTTAGGGCGGGGGTGAACTTTCCCAGGGGCGATCGTGGGTTCCTTCCATCGCCGCGTCTTTCCGTCGCGCCCCGAAGTTGTGAGCACCCACTCTGGAAACTCACCCCCACCCCGTTCCATTAGAGGAGCGACGCCCATCTGTAGAGAAATGAGTTTTGCAAGATCACGGGAGTGTTGAGACAGTCTGGTCATCTTGGTGGTTAAAATAAAAAACAAATCACCCTTCACTTCCCCCTGATAACGAGTCTTTACGTAGTCGGATAGTCGGGGGCGGCGGGGCTGGGGGAGAGGTGGGGGAGGAGAGCCGGACCCCTGCGCGGGTTTCCTGGGCTAGGAAGAAACGCAACCCCGGTAGGGATCTTGACACGTGGGCGCAGGTTCTGTTGGCAATGATTTGTTTCCCAGTTCCTTCTCTAAAGCAAATACTAGCAAACGAAGAGCAAAACTTTTTTTCTTTTCTTTTACATTTTTATTGCATGCACACAAGTTTGGATTTCTTTCTCTTCAGACCTCTCCTTTTAGGTTTTTTCTTTCTTTTTTTTTTCCATTTTGCAATGGATAAATCACTGTGATTTAATTCAGAGGTTCGAACTAAAATCCTAGGCTTTAATAAACTTGACACCCCTACTTTCCCCGTTCTATGGTATCTGTTCCAAGATTCAATCCATCATGAAGTTTTTGCTCTCAATCTTCAAAATGATGTCTTATATATATTTTTTAATGTAGGAATACTGCTATTTTGATGTCTTATATTTAAAGCATTTTTCGTCTTTCCAATATTATCACAATAGTTTGAGTTTAATATCGCTTTTTTTGGGCTATTCTGATGGGGTTCTATATGCTTTGCAAAGTTCTCTAATAGTTTAACATTAAACCTGAAAAAATTGGAAATCTGATCACACTCTTCTTCTGATTTGCAGGTAACTCTCAAACCGAGCTTGATGTATATTTATAAGTCAACATTTTTTGCTTGTTTTTTTTGGGTGGGTGGGTGGGTTGGGGCACACTGGGATGCTCAAGGATTGAGCATAACTGGTCCCAGGAATCAAACAGCAGTTAGTCAAGTGCCAGGCAAGCCCTTTAGCCCATCCTATCTTTTGGTCCTCTATTAGGTAAATCTATTTGAATGTTTTGCTTCATCTCTTGATTCTCTAATTTCTACTTAGAAAACATTTTTCAGCACTAATACATTTTGTTCATGTTCTTTTGAGTTTATGTTAAGGGCTGTACAAAAAATTGCTTCTGAGCAAACAGTATTTTAATGGCCACGTTTTTCTTCTGTTATATTATTTTAATAAGTTTTGTTTTGCTTATGTAGCTACGTTATGTACAAGCTGTTCTTAAACCCCTAAAGACAGTTCTTGCAAAGACATTACAGTCTGTTAACAATTGCTTAACTTTTCCTATTGTTGATTTATTTTTGCTTTTTGGGTCACACCAGGCGATGCATAGGGGTTACTCCTGGCTCTGCATTCAGGAATTACTCCTGGCCGTGCTCGGGGAACCATATGGGATGCTGGGAATAGAACCTGGCTTGGCTTTGTGCAAGGCAAACGCTCTACCTGCTGTGCTATCGCTCCAGCCCCTTTCCTTTATTTTAAAAATAAATCTTGTATTATAACTTTGGATATTGGGTTTTCTTTTTTTGGGGGGGGGCGGTCATACTCAGTTGTGCTCAGAGTGGATTCTAGGCTCTGTGCTCAGGGGTCATTCCCAGTGGGCCTTGGTGGTGAAGATCAAACATAGATCGACTTCATGCAAAGCAAACACCTTGGACCCATTATGCTATCTCAGCAGCCTCTTTAATTTTTTAATTGAAGCAATATTGCTTATAACATTGGTTTTATGTGTATAGCATTCGACATTTGTAAATGCTACATTATGATTCCCGTCAAAAGTAATTTCATTCACCATACATAGACCCTCTTTACCTGTTAATTGGCTCTCTTTACCCTCTCCAATCCCCACTGTTAACCAATATTTTATTCTGTTGCTAAGTTTGCTTTTATTTTGTTTTAAAAGCAAAAATCCTAACAAAACAACAAAGAATCCTTATGGCATGGATTACATTTCTCAGGGTTTGCTTTCATAGATCATAAATCTCATATGCAACTTGTTTCTGATGGCTTACGGATACTGCATCAGGTCTGTATATCAAAGTGGAGCAACCAAATTCAAAGCACTTTTTCCCCCTCTGTAAGATTATCTTGCTTGAGAGGTTGCTAGATTGTTGCTAGAGGAAAATGATCTTGAGAGGTTTGTAAATCTGTTAAATTACTAAATTAGCACACACAAGGTTTTCTTCTATTTTCTTTTTCAAGTCCTCTTCATATTACTCAAAACAGGTGATTTCCTAATTCCTAACAGGTTTGGGAACTTCTCAGAACCAAGAGATTGCAGTGTTTCATTTACTGACTTTGCATGAACTGAAGAAATAAACGTTTTGAGTCTTTAAGTCAAAAGGAAAGAGAACAAAGCATTTTAATAAAAAATATTTAAGTCACTAAAAAATCTTCGATGCAAAGTGTCTTTTTCAGCACATATTAAGGTAAAGGTAAAGGCCCTCCCGTTGATCGTCGATTTGCTCGAGCGGGCCCAGTAACGTCTCCATTGGAGACTTTGTTGTTACTGTGTCTGGCATATCAAATTTATAAGAGGCTTTTGTTTTTATATCAAATTTATAAGAGGCTTTTGTTTTTTAAGTTTTTGGGCCATACTTGGCAATGCTCAGGATTACTCCTGTCTCTGCCTACACTCAGGAATCACTCCTGGCAGTGCTCAGGGAACTGTAGGGACTGCCGGGGATCAAATTTAGCCCATTGAGCTACTTAGGCCACTTAGCTATGTCCTGCCCTAAGTATGAATTTTGATGGAAATGAAATCCTGGACCTTAGCTAATGGAAAGAGGATGAAAAAATACTGAGACAGAAACAGTTTCTCTGTGCACTCATGGATATATGTATTTTTTGTTTTTGTTTTTGGATCACACTTTATCATGCTCAGGGTTTACTCCCCATTCTGCACTCAGGAATTATTCCTGGCGGTGTTCAGAGGACCATATGTGATGCCGGGAACACTCTACTGTACTATTGCTCCAGCCCCATCATGATTATACTTTTTTTTTTTCTTTTTGGGTCACACCCGGCGATGCGCAGGGGTTACTCCTGGCCATGCACTCAGAAATCACTCCTGGCAGTGCTCAGGGGACCATATGGGATGCTGGGAATCGAACCTGGGTCGGCTGCGTGCAAGGCAAACGCCCTACCCACTGTGCTATTTCTCCAGCCCTGATGATTATACTTTTAATATTGATTATCAGCCCCTCATAGAATCTCAATCCCTTCTGAGTATCATACTAGCTGATTAAGTTGGAGATGGAATGGGATTGATACAACTGGAAAACAATAATGACCATAGGAAGCTTCATTATTGAAGGCTTATTACATTGTAATTTTCGTCCCTTTACCTTCCCTCCTTTTAGTGGTTGTGTTGTTTGCACTTGATTGTGATAATCACCAGGGGTGGGGAGAGGAACATGCACACTTTAGTTGTCCTCAAACTGCATGAAGTTTGGGTGTGAGGGAGTTACGTTTGGTCATGATCGGGGGCTACTTCAAGCTTCAGTGCTCAGGGTCTTCTGACAGTGCTCTGGGGAGTTACGCAGTACCAGAAAACAAATCTTAGCCCTGTTGTGCACAGCACATACTTCTGTGTTGAGCTATCACACTCTGACTCCGCTGTAATTTTTTTTTGTAACCTTGATACACAGTTACAAAGTTATTCATGATTGGGTTTCAGTCACACAATGTTCCAATATTTGTCCCTCTACCAGTCTATTTTCCAGCACCCATATCTCTTTCCCACCAGCCGGCCTCTGTGGCGAACACTTTTCTGCTCTCCTTCCTCCCCATTCTTTTTGGACATTATGGTTTGCAATAAAGATACTGAAAGATCATTCAGGTGACCATGTAGGCACTAAAAGGTTATTATGTATATCACTCTTTCTCTGAGTGATCATTTCCTATCACTGTTATAGTGGTCCCTTCTCTGTCCTAACTGCCCTTCCCCCAACTTGTGGCAAGTTTCCAAGTTCTCCTGCCCTCATTTCTATTACCCTTGGATATGTATTAGTCTCATACTATTTTATTTTTTAAATATCCTACAAATGAACACATCATTTTGGGTCACACCCGGTGATGCTCAGGAGTTACTCCTGGCTTTGCACTCAGAAATTATTCCTGGCGGTGCT